GTGTGCTTAGGGTCATTGTCCTGTTGAAAAGTGTCCTGAGATAACTTCTGTTATTAATTGGCGCTATACAAATAAAATTGAATTGAATTGAATTGATGAACCAAAGCTAAACCAATCGAAAGTTATTATTGAAAAGCCAGAAGACCTAACATTGAGAATGCTCAACTACTTAGGGCTAAAAGTGCACTTAAAACAGTGGTTCTTAAACTATTTTTCAATAATGTAACCCCTTAGAAATATTTCCCTGACCAGCGCAAAACATTTTTGATGGATATAAAGAGCCTTTATGAAGAGGAACAATACAGCACTGCACCATCAGTGTCTAATTTATTAAGAAAAACTATTTCTAATGTTTAGAATCCATCACTAAATTCACTTCATTTTGTCATGATGCAATAACACTAAGAGAGCACTGAAGTTGCATTGAACTGTGTCTTTTTGATAAGTGACAAACATTGGCATGTGAGGTTTTTACTGCAGTTCACAGCTCACAGCAGTTAACAATTGCATTAAAAATAGAAATATTGAAAATGAAATGTGGTTTATCTAACTTACATTTACATTTTTTTAAATTTATAGTTTAATAATTGTAGGATTATAATAATCATGCATGACTGATATTTTTTAAATTAACATTAAAAACAAAAAGTCACATACCCCCTACAGTTAGAAGTACTTCTAGGGTACCCACATTTGAGAAACACAGACTTAAAAGATAAGTATTCTGTCCATGTACATGTTTATGATTTTTTTATTTGTATATATAATTAAATATCATAAAGATTGAATTCAATAAACAAAGTCAGGACATAGTGGTAATTTTTTGGTTTGGTTCTCCTCTCCCTTTTTACTCAAATCGAATTTTCACATTGTGGTATTTCTACTTTTACTTAAGGAAAGGCTCTGAGTACTTCTACCACCACTGTATAGGAACCTACAACTCTAGGGTGAGCTGCCACCTGCCTCTGCAGGACCTGCACTGCATTGTGGGGCTCACACCACAGACTCTACTACAATCTGTTCATCCATATTGCCAATTTAATGAACCTATGAAGTGGACACAGATGAAGCTGGAACTATCTATGTCCATCCTTCTGTCTAACAGGGTATGTTAGACAAACGATTTACAAAATCAAATTAAAGCCATTCCCCCACATCCAGAAACTATGACTCAAAGGTACAAACAGGCTCGCTAATCTAAATTAAGAGACTAGAGAATAAATGTGCTGATGTTTCGTTTTGTGAACACATCATGACTTGATCCCAGTGAGAGACAGGGGGTTCAAGTTCATTGTACGAACAACAGTCAGCAATTCAGCTTCAGAGGAAGGAATGAAAAAAAGTGGAGGGGAATGGAGAAGGAGGCAAGACAGAAGGAGAAAGGGTAGGAAGTGAAGGAGGAAGGATAAATTATTAAAAAAACAGTGTTTGTGAGTGGATGAGTGGTGAAACCCAGCTGAGCCACAGACAGCAGTCAGAAAAAAGGAAGACAGCAAGAGAGGGAATATGAATAATACAATATGGATGCATCCATTCATTGATCTCCGGCATCACACCCTTCAGTCAAGCAGCTCTGACCTTGTGTGTGTGTGTGTGAGAGAGAGAGTTCTCATGCCAGCATAAATAAGCAGGAGTGACAATCGAGCTGTGAGCAGAGTCTCAGTGAAGCAGCTAAACCAACAACATTAGTGGATTTCAGACCTGAGTAGTTTCCTAATTACTCAGTCATTAGCACAACTTAACCTCTGCTATCCTGAGGAAACCTGGAGCTGTCTAAGACATTATATTGCTTATATTGCATGTATGTCTGCAACTGGGGATCAAAATATAAAAAATTAAGTACAAAGAATTTTATTCCTGTCAGTGCATGAGGGAATGTGGAGGGAATTACTAATGTTATTATAAGATCCTTCTATAATAAATCCTTCATAACTGAGGAAGGCAATTCAGTTTTATGGCTGTGAGAGGACAGGATTTTTTGTGGATTTCCTAAAGTTGATGTGAACTGAACAACAGCAAATTCATCATGCTCAGCCCTCACACCTCTACACTTTACCATTTCCAAATGGCAACAGGTGATAATGATGACCTGTGCTGTGCTCAAGACTAAAGGCTAACACACACACTGGCGGGAAACCAAAACTGACTGATTGAAGGCCCAAAAAATAATCAAAGAAAAATTTAAAAGAAAGGGAAAAACGCCAAAGTGACGTCTTTTCTCCAACCAACAGTCAAAAACCCACAGACTCTTTTACTATCATAAACGACAAAGAATCCACACATTTAAGAAGCTAGAACCAGCAAATGTTTGACATTTTTGCTTCAAAAATACCATAATCCATTATCAAAATAATTGGCAACTAGGTTTTTTTCTATCAAATAGCTGACGTAATCGAGTTATGATTGAAATCATTCAGCTGAGTCAGGAACAGTTTGTGCAACCTGTTTGTTCCTGCAGCGATCTCATCTGGCTTCTCGTCTAAGTGTAAATTAAAGTGTCTTAAGTCTTATCTGGTTTTAAGTAGACACTTGTATGACAAGTGTAAATGGGGCTGTTATTTCTTTTGGAGGAAATTGTTCAAATGGAGACTCTCTGTCTCTGTCCAAGGTGCCGATTTCTCCTCTCTGTCTAGCAGAGTTGACTGAACTTACTTGTGAGATGTCGTGGTCCTGAATTTCTGTCTTCCACCTTGTCTTAGGGTGGAAGGTTTATCTAAGCTATAAACAGGATAAAGGCACAGTGAAGACCTGAACATAAGCCACTTTCACAGAGCCTTCACAGCCTCACCCTGCATTATAAAAATATGCAGTGAAAACAACCAAAGAGCTAATAGAACAATGAGAAGAAAAGACTATTAAGTATGTACATTAGTTACAGATTAAAAAAAAAACTTAATACAGAGACAGCAGATTGTATAAAAAGCTCCTAAAGCTAACCGGAAAAAAAAATTCACAGGAAATAATTTGCTCAAAATTCATCTAAATCTTTGGTTTTCCACAAACTTCCTGCAGTTATTGTGTTCACTGTTTGGGTTCATTGTACAGTGTATCAGTTGTTCTCTACTGTTATTGTTATACATTGAATATAATATGAAATATATATATAAAATATGTTACTAAGTTAGTTAACGCAATGATAGAAAAGGGATCCCTTAAGGAAAAAGGTTGGAACCACTGCTTTAAATAAATTAAATTCACTTTAGTGGGGTAATTAAAAAGTATAGGTAGCAGAGGAAATGTACATATTAATAAAGGCATAGGACAAAGTAATAAAATATATTGTTACAATGCATAACCAAAGTATAAAATGCATAACAACAGCTAAAATGCTAAATGCTAGGGGCATCAGTCAGTGGTGAGGAAGCACAAGTGTCAACCAGAAGGGGCTCCTAGAACAGAATGAGGGTGAGGTGTCAGAGGATTTTACTGGCCTTCTGAAGGATGATTTGATTATATGTGGTGGCCAGAGACCTCAGAAGGAGACACATGGTCTACTGACAACATTATGTAGGCTCTTCTTGATCTGGGATGTTACTGACTGGTACCAACATATAAAAAATGTTATTAACCAATTTCAAACTGTGATACTGTTGACATGGAGGAAACAGAGAGCTTGGTATTCCAATGTGGAGGAAGCATCATATCAGCTGTAAATAACCCTTGGCTGTGGCTGTTCGAGGGGCAAGGGAGAAAGTGCACATTTATGGTGAAACTGCTTAGTCTGGGTTAGAATTAGCATCCTAGAGGGAAATGCATCATGTTTTATCTAGCATAAAAAGGTGTCTTTGCTGTGTGTCTTAGAACATGGGTGTACCACCGGTGTGGCGAACGCTTCCTAGCCCACAAAAGAGGCATTGTATGCAGTCATTGTGATAAACACTTTCCAGTTTACAACCAAGCTAACTATTTTTGAATTTTGCAGTTAGCAAGACAGTTAGCCTGGTGGGCTATAATGGCAGGCAGGCCCCATTATCAACTAGCCTTTCAGCCACAATAACTAGCCCCACCTACTGTACCACTGTATTGTACTTTAGATAAAAAAAAATAAATAGCAAAAAATTAAAAGATGTATGACAGTCAGTCAACACGGAAAAACACTAATAATTCATACTTCAGCAAGAGCAAGATAGGTAAATTACTTTCAGGTGATTACATTTGCCTTATCAAGCAGCACTGGAAGCTTTAACGGCCTCCTGTGTGCTCGCCCACTGAAAGCCTTGACAGAGAAAACACACATTTTATGATTAAAAAGTAATCTCTGTTCCACTGCTAGTAACGCTAACTGCTACTGTCACTGTCAAACATGTCCTGATACAACAAACCGACAAACTGAGGGGCCTTCTCCTGACCAGTGGCAACCACCAGCTGAATGTTAAAGCCAATGTGAAGTAGCCTCTATCCCAGTAGTGACATAGTTTATGGATATTTCATATTATATTCAATGCATAACAGTAACAGTAGAGAACAACGATAAACTGTACAATGAACCCAAACAGTGAACACAAATAAACTGCAAAAAGAAGGTTGTTAAAGCCAGAGATTTGGAGGATTTCAGCGAGATTATTTCCTGTTTCTTATTTCAGAGAATATACACATAAACATATATTTATGTTTTAACAATCCTACAAACTTAATAGACAATAACAGACATTTGACAAATACAGTGTTTTCTCTCGTTGTTCTATTAGCTCTTTGGTTGCAGGTGTTCAAATGCAGGACGAGGCTGTTTATCAGAGAGTGAAGGCTCTGTGGATATAGCTTGTGTTTAGTTCTTCACCATGCCCTTATCCTGTTTATATCTTAAATTATAATCTAAACTTTAAAAATAAATACTTCATTAGTTTTATTCACAGAAATGCTGAGCTATAATGTATATTTAAAAAAAAAAAAATCTAACACCCCTTTAAATTGAAAACATTTTCATTTAAAGGCACTGGTCGGGAACCCCAGGTTGAGAACCAATGCCTTTGAATGAGATTTTTAGCAGTTTTCTACGTATATATTTTCTCATTGTCAACAAATCCCATAAAAAGACCAAAACCAACAATTATTGTTCCTACTAAATATGATTGTGTGTATAGCCACACATAGATTGGATATAGTGTGTTCCTCTGTGCCATAGAGCTCAATTAAAAATACATAAAATATTAAAAGCACATAAATGAGTCACACTGGGTGACACGGTCCTTCATTACAATGAAAAAGGCCACTGTTTTTATTCTGAGTCAATACCACTGGTGCAGTAAATACTCACTAGAGAACAATTATTAATCCACATCTGAATACAGTCCACAACAAATGCACTATTTGCTCCGTTATATTAAATTTATCAGTTTAAAAGGTTTTTAAAGATTGACAGTAGGAATCAGTGGACCTGGGGCTTATGTTCACAGAACAGGGAAGCTGGAGAGAGCAACTAACACATTGTTGTTCTTTTCATGGGTCTTGTTGACAATAAGAAAAATATAGAATATCTCCAGTTCTCCAGTATCTCTTATAATATAAGTACAATATTATTGTAAGTTACAGCTCCTCTAACAGACTATTTTCTTCTGAAGTGTGTCCTTGTGGTGGTTTTTCAAAATTATATATTGTATATTTTGTTTTTCCTTGACTGACACTCAAGCCAGTGGTAGCTGTGCTGTGTAGTGCTTGACCTTCTAAAGCCCACTACAGGTGATGTTTTTTTACAGCAGTTAACAACCTTCTGACTTTTCTGCACAAAAATATAAATAAATCAATATTATAATTTCATTATAGCAATAATATACAATAATATAAATTTCCCATTATCAACCAAAAATGTATCAGCCCCAATAACTATCACGGATTCCTATAAACAAGCAAGACGAGAGGTAAACCGAAGTCATTCACCAAAAGCTTCCTTTAGAAACCCGACAACATGCCATTTCCACGTTATGTCCATTTCTTTCTCTTTTTCTTTTCAGTTCATTAGATGTGTGTGTTTGTGTTGACTACAGCTCCATGAGGGGCTGCCATGGTTCCACTGCCTCTGAATTATTAATAACCCTGCAGACAGAAACTGCACCTCTCCCAGGTATCAGCCAATTGACTGACAGGCTGAGTAGTTCAAGCTATGTACATGCCGATATCAGACCTCCATTGTGAATCACAGTTGGTGTCACACAAAGGTCAGACTGCAGACCGAGCTTTGTTGTCCCCTGAATTTCCTCCATCTGTCTGAATAGTCAATTGAGGGACCCCTGACATGAATTGACTGCAGTGTTACTGTCTGTCATTATGTGGTTTGGTGAAAGGAAAATGATAGGTAGGTTGGTACAAATCAATGAAAGGGAGAATGAGACAGTGAGCGGGGGAAGTGCCTGTCTGCTGGTACGTGTTTACAAGTTTATCAGATTGTATGCCGGGGTCTCATTTTGCCCGCAGGATTTGAGATTCTCTACTGAGAGATGCTTGTGGAACATCAACAAAGCTGCTTCTTATTAAAAGCATCGGTCGTGCTGAAAATGTAGACATTTGGGGGCCGTTCTTCTGCATAACTGCTCCTGTGCCTTTGTTGTGGATGCAAAATTACTGACATTGCTCTGCTGGGGTTGTCATCTTAGATCTGTCTTTGAAGCAAGACGAGGTAGGTGGATGTGCAAATGGTTAAAGCTGAAGGTTTTTATGTAAAAGCCTAATCATACTAAACCACACACAGAGGCTGCGATAAGATACAATCTTATTTAAAGGTCCAGTGTGTAACATTTAGGAGGACCAATTCTGAAGCTAAAGTCAAAGAATTTTGAAATGTTTTTCTTGACTTAAATTAAATGAATCGATTTAATAATTTGACTAATCGATTAATCGCTGCAGCTCGAGGTCAAACCTAGAAATGTACTTAAAGTATGAAAGTTATTCAGGGAAGGTTTATATTATTAGAAACAACACTGGATTATTACTGTTGATACATTAAGTATCATTTTAATGATGCAGCTGGTTGAGCTGGAGCAGATTTTCACAACTCTATATAGTGTTGGACATTTTTTTCTATAACAATGCATCATATTTAATATGATAATGGGTTTTGTATGACCTTTTTTACTTGTAAAGAAACTATAGCTGTCAAATAAATGTAGTGGAAGAAGAAGTCAAAGGTAGCATAAAATAGAAAAACTCCAGGAAAGTATACGTACCTCAAAACTGTACCTAAAGGTGCTGTGAGTGCTATTTGTTTTGTTAGAATAAGTGTTAAATAGCTCTACATTGATATAGAGAGATCAGTCAGTAACATGGTCTCCCAGTCCCTTCTTCCTGCAGTAAACAGAGAATACACTTCCTGGTATCCTGTTCCCACTTTATCCAATCAGGAGAGAGAACTCCACAAAAAAGCGGTCCTCAATGACAGGCAGCAGAATTTAATGCCGATTTCAGTGACAGCAAGTAGCTGGAAAGTAGCTCTTGAGTAAGCACGCTACATTCCACTGCTACAACACTGTGTGGGTGAAAAAAGTGTGTACTAACCAATATCCCAGGATCCAGGACTTTCGATCTCCTTGCGGCCAATGAAGTACCAGACGCAGGCCATCCAGTGAGCCAGCAAGGCGAACATGGGACATGAGCAGAGTAAGAACCACAGCGCTGTACTTGGAGTATCGCTCCAGCTTCTGCAGCAGCCGCAGTAACCGGAGCAGCCGAACCGTCTTCAGCAGGTGGACACCCAAAGTACTGCACAGATAGATTACACACAATATCATCTCTCTCACACACACACACACACACACACACACACACACACAACACACTCACACACTCAGTGTCAACCTTAAGCATTTCTTAAATATAAAGGGACCATTCTGCATACCTATTTTATTAGTAGTATTAAAGATTATATGTATGAAACATTATATCAGCAAACAACTATTTCTATTCTCTACTCTAGTCTATTTGTCCGGTCTAGCGGCATGTGCATGTTAGTGGGAATCTCTTCAGGGATCCTTCCCATAATGTTGTCAGACACTTAACAATCTAAGTCTGTCAGTGGCAAAAACCACAACTTTTAGTGGACCTACTTTGACCTGCGGATTTGTTCCCAAGGATTAACGTTATCTTACGTTGGGGCCGTTGCAGCCCTTTTCACAAATCTTTTCTCATCTAATTGATTTATTTGGACCGAACCAGCGTTGGTGTTTGTTGGAAAGACTAACAAAGATGGTTTTTGTAAGTTTTATTTTGTTTCAGTCCAGTTAAAAGTGTTTTCTACAATAAAATACGAGATAAAATTTCTAGTTTTGTCAATGGAGTCTGGTAGGCCAATTGCCAAATTGTTTTGGTCTGAGACACTGTAGACTCTAGTGTGACATCTAGTAGCAGTGAATTACGTGTATATATAACCTTTAAAACAGGACAATTTCTTTCATCATCAAGTGTGCTTAATAATTTGTACGTGAAAATGACAGTTTCATTCAAAAGAGGGATCTTTATTTTTCACTCACTCCAAATTAGAATTTAAGAATGAGTCTGAATACTCATTTTGCGTTCATGTGTAGTAATTTACCCCGCAGTTCAAAGCATCTTTTAGGATTCAGAGCATGGAAGAACAAATTAAGGAGACCTGCAGGATGTGCTCTAACATCAGACTGGCTCTGTGCCATCATCTGATGAGCCTCAGTTTGGATGAAATGTTGATCTAATCAATTCACAAGGGAGCCTACGACATTATGCATTAATTCTCTCTTTCTCCAAATTTGGCTGGTTGCCATCGGTGTGTTAGTGTGGATGATGAATGCATGAGTGTATGTCCACATTTAAGTGCTTTTCTTTCCTTTTTTCCTAGAGCAAGTGCATCAAGTGGGCTGATTTGTCACACACTTTGTCAATCTGTCACACGCTGTCTTTGGTATGTAAACACACAAATGTCCACAGATGGACGCACAGAGGAGACTCACCACGCTGACGTTGAAAGCATACAGCAGGTCAAAGGGCAGGGCGGCAATGAGATCGACAAAGAGCCAGGTGGTGACGTAGTGAACACAGATGGAGCGGGCATCGTACACTACCTGACCCGACGTGCTCACAAAAGTAGTTCGAAAGTTCAGCAGTATGTCTGCAGAGGACGACAACAACAGCGGAAGCTGACAGCAGGAACTACCAACAGGATAGTACAGGTGTAACTGTCACTAGAGCTGCACGATATGATAAAAACATCATACTGTGATTATTCTGACATTGTTCTAGTGTTTCTTGTGATATGATTCACAATCACAGTTTGAATTTTCACTGAAAAAAACTATTAAAATCATGATGATGTGACATTTGTTGGGGTCTGTACCAAACAACAGATTTTTAAATCTGATGAAGATGATTTGTAGGCCAAGGAATCTCTTCAGAGCAACAGTACTTCATAATAATGCTGTTTGTCACACATTTTAACTTTATCAAAACATTGCAGCTTCTGCAATTTGCATATTACACTTGGCCAGACTGTGATTTCAGGAATATTTTTTTTTAAATTGTGCAGCCCTAACTGTTACATGATAATCACACAATAATGAACAACATACACAGCAATGGTTATTCAGTGAATCACATGTAAGTCAATTTGATCATGATGACAGAAAAAGAGATCTCTCAAACTCATGATCTAAGATCAACAGCTATGAACTTGTGTACTTGAAGCCCCTACAAAGAACTTTCATTTTGTGTTGATTCTGGTGGTCCCTGTGGACACAAGTGGTAGTGTTTCAACACTACAAAATTCAGACTCTGTGAATATGAAAATATGATTCAATCCAAACGTTTAACTACAGGACACGAGATGTCTTCTACTACACTGAAGTCCTTTCTCAGTGTATGAGACCTGGAGGTTTCAAATTTCCACATCACACTTGTCCAAGTTGCATACTGGACCAGGATTTGTGTCCAAACTAGCTGTGAGGTCTCAAAATTGCTGCTCATACATACATGTGTTAAACTGAGATTTAAAGGGCAAGTGTGTAGGATTTTGCACCATCTAGCTGTGAACTTTCAGATTACAACTAACTGAACACTACTCACGTCTGTATTGCGCGACCAAGGAATTGAGAACGGTTTGTAAGTTGTTTTTTAGAAGAAAACCACGGGTTGGCCGCAAAACTCGCCGAAAGTCCCTATCTAGAACCAGTGTTTTGGTTGTCGTTTTCGGGCTACTGCTTATGAAACATGCAGTTCAACATGCGCGGATCTGTTTAAGCAACCCACCAGTGTCTGTAGATAAGGCAGATGACCACCCACCTATAGGCAAAGGGTCTGTCCTAAGTTTCTGCCTGTTAACAGGCAGTTTTTCCTTGCCCCCCGTCGCCAAGTGCTTGCTCATTGGTGGTACTGTTGGGCTCTGTTAAAATGTTATAAGGGAGGTTCGGGTTCTAGACCTGCTCTATTTGAAAAGTGTCCTGAGATAACTTCTGTTATGAATGACGCTATACAAAATAAAATTGAATTGAATTGAATAAAAACTCATTGCTGATATTATTGCTATTATTATTATTATTATTATTATTATTATTATTATTATAATTATAATAGTTACTATTATTACTATTATTATGGTTCATCATCCCCTCTCGGTATGGCTATTGTCGTCATTATGATCTTCTTCATGTTCTTCATCATCATCATCATCATCATCATCATTATCATCATCATCAGTCATTTCTATTAGTGTAGCTGTTGCTGTGCACCTTTGTCTCNNTGTTGCTACTGTTGTTGCTGTGTACCTTCGTCTCTGTCTCTGTCCTTCTCTCTTTACCATCCACCCCCCCTCTCTCCCTCTCCCTCCCTCTCTCTCCCTCTCTCCCTCTCTCTACCTCTCTCTCACCCCAGCTGGTCGAGGCAAACTTTCCTCCTTCAGCAGATGAAAGTGAACAGCATTCTCCTGTCAAACTGCAATGTGTAGCTCAAACATCCAAGTCAAGGAAAATTAAAAGTTGTTGAAGACATGCACCAAGTTTCAAACATTTAAAGGACTTAAAGGCAGAGACAGTTTTAAAAGTTTTTGTTTGCTCACTGATTTTGGTCACTGGACTTTTAGGGCTCCTTGTCTTGACACATAGCTCATAAATGCAATGTTTTTCAGCAATTAAACCTTCAATGTTCATCCTTGAAGGCTCCAATGATTTTCAAAATGGTCTTTGTTCACATCTGTCTAACACACAACAATAATTTCCTATTGACAGAAGAATGATGGTGACAAAACTTTGACGAATTACTCATCTCAAGCAGGTTTCATGTCTCATACAGTGGATGCAATTTGATGGCTAAAACATGACAAAACCTCCAGTATGGCTCTTCAGTTAACTCACTATTCCAATAGGAGTCTTTAGGATTCAGTTAATTCTTGAAAAGGAGCTTATTAACAGAAACAAAGGAATAAACAGAAGCCTGATTTCAACATTTCAATCCAGCACTGTCTGCTGAGTGAATGCATTGATAAACAGGCTGGCCTATTAGTTCTAACAAATGGGATATCGACTGACAGGAGTCAGCCATTTAACTGCGGGCGGCTCGTATAATTTCATTGCAAAAGTTTATCGATGGAGGGCTTGTGTTCACTCTTTTCCATTAAGGCAAATTGTCCATTGAAGAGCACTCATACAACTTCCCTTCAGCTAGATGGACAAGACTGGGGACAAAGAGGCCTGTTGTTTCCTAGAAAATGAGTTAGCAATAAGACATAATGGTCCACTACGAATGGCTCATATCCTTTCACTGCTGCGCATGCATCATTAAAAACTTCGACAAAACTTTTATTATGACTGATAAGCCTCAGATTTAGGCTGTTTTACTGACCTTGCATCAGGGGCGGTTAACGCAATGACAAACAAATAGCCAATCTTTACAATAATCAAGTCGTGTTAATTATTGAAGCTAGCTCTGGAAAAAGAAAGCACTAATCAAGCAAGTGTTCTTCATGAAAGGAATTAATTTGGCTGGAAATGTTAGCCAAAGGAGAAGCTTGTAAAGTGAATCACGGCATGCTCTCTCACCCAAAATAAACAGGATCTCTACGAGGATGTCACTAACGCTGGGCGGGCTCCGCGGGGCACTGCTCCCTTCATCCCGCCCTCCCACCACCGTGAAGCATACGTTGTAGGGCACGGTGACGGCCACGTAGAAGGTCGCCAGCAGGATCAGCCAATCCCAGCCGGCCTTGAAGGTTCCGTAGTGGAGCAGTATGAAGCGGGATTTCTGAATGGCTGCTACCTTGTACTCTGGGATCGGAGGCTTCTCCCCGAACATGTTCTGGATCGGATGACAGGGAGAAGTAGGGTTAACACTACACAGCAATGTGTAAAATATGTCCAGAATGTTAGTTCATTAATGTTTAAACATTCAAAAAATTAACAATAAATAATAATAATAACAAAAAATAACAAGAGTTATGAGTTTTGACATTATGTCAAAGATGTCTATGTATTGTGCTACAGAGATATCTACTGAAATAAGCATGCTGATCAGCTAGCAAATACTGGATAGTGAGTCACTGTAGCGTCCAATCTGCCCTCAGTTCAACATGAGGAAGAAGAAATGGAGAACCAGGGGACAGAGATGCTACTCGCTGACAGCTGCTGAGCGCAGGGGACTTCTCAAGGAGAGATCTGGGGCTACAACTAGAGCTTCCCACACAACGGATTCTGCCCTGATCCGTTTACCAGTGGGAGGAGAGCTCAGAGTTTATGTTTTTAACTTTTAAGATTAAAAAGGGGATTTATTATTACTTTTGCTTCTCCACCTGTCTGCAGTTGCACTGTTGTTATTGTAGGCTCCCAGAGCTCTATGGTACTACTTCCTATCTGGACAAGAAGAAGATTTCCTGGAGAAAAGTAAGCAAGGAAGTTGGACTACCTGTGAAGTGAAGTGAAAATATGGGTAGGTTACATAATTCCAGTTATCAGTTGTACTATGAACTAAGTAAGCATACAGCCCTGATCAATCTGAACTCCATTCAGATGGCACATGTTTGAAAGGTTGTTTACTTGTTTACTCTTGCAGATGGTCCTGACAAAGTAGGAATTCAGACTTTTTTACTGATCTGCATCATGATGTAGTTATTTCCCATCTATTGCAGTCAAATAATGCTATAAGGAGTTCGGTCTAGACCTGCTCTATTTGAAAACCTTCTGTTATGAATTGGCGCTATACAAATAAAATTGAATTGAATTGAATTGAAATCACAGCAAAATCAGTTTAAGTTTGGAATGTTAGCTATACATTTTTGAGGACATTGCGTGTCTAACTGTAAACAATTAAACAGTGGGAGAAAATGAAATGCTGCCCCCTATTTGGAGCTACACATTGTACCTCTAAGGAGACATTTAAGAAAAACTGGGAACATTAGCTCCAAATGGATAATTAGGTGTTTGCATGTGTACAGTGTTTTCACAGAGAGATATCTGTATTTTATGAAATGGCCAGTTGAATCTGATTTTCACCTGCATTTTATTTCTTCATTAATCATGAAGTTCTTTCGTTTCCTGTTTTTTTTGGGGCTTTTTATTGTCTTGCCGAAGATAGACAGGTATATGAGGGCGAGGCAGGAGAGAGGTGACACGCAGCAAAGGGCCACAGGTTTCAGATTTCGAACCCTGGGCCGCTGCAGCAAGTCAGTACATGGGTCACCAGCTCTAACAAATGAGCTAACAAGGCGCCCCTTGTTTCCTGTTTTCGAAGACTGCTTACCGTAAACAGGGTCTTGACAGGGCAATGATTACCTCAAAAATCTTACATTAATACAAAGGAAAGAGAAAAGTACAGAGGAAACCCAAATGAGCTAATTTAAAAAGGTTAAGGCTAAAAAGTTGAACTAGAAAATGTTTGTGCAACATCCTGTATCCTGGATATTTTAATTATTGATTTTTTAAATTCCATTTAAGCAAATTAAAACCAAAATAATGATCCCTAAAAAATACATAATCCCTCTATGAATGGCCATAACACTTGCAGGGTGCATACTGCATAGGTCTGCATATTTGTTTTATCACTGACAGCAAAATGCAGAGCTCTTTTACCCCAAAGTAAAAGAGAAGTGAGCATGTACTCCTGCTGACCTTCATACCATCTGTCAGGGTGTGTGCTGCCCACTGTGCTGCAGCAGACCTACAGTGTGGTGAACACACATAACAATGGACAGCTACAGTGACCATCCTCTGATTATGGCCCCTTGAGATCTGTGTGGTGTGCTGGGAGCAGGCGTGGACTAACAGTATGCCTGTTCATATGATAATATAAATATAAGCCAGACTTTTATAGATCCTAACCTTCAAGAAACCATGTTGCTACTTGGGCAACACAAACTTTGTTTTATTGTAAAGCAAGAATTACTTTGTATTCCATCTGGATAACAGAGTATTTGAAGAATCTGGAAATGACTTCAAAACAGTTTATTGTTAAACAACCTGTAGGGGTTTTTAAATTTTGGCTTGGACTATATTTATCCTTCAGAAAAAAAGAAACTTACCTCTATGACTTGAATGTAACCTTCCATGCGAAAGTCTCAAAAGTAAAACTCATGATTACATGAGAGGCATTCTGGGGCCAATCTGGCATGCAATAAATCTTCTGGCAACCAAACATGTTAATACTCCAACAATATTATACAGAATATAATGAAACTGTGTCCAGTCTTTTAAGTAAGTATTTATGTACCAGTGTAGACAAATGCAGGGAAACTCACATTGTTGATCTTGAGCTTGCTCTTGTCTTGTTTCTGCAGGTGTCCTGACAGGTGATAGAGAACAGCTCTGCTGCGGCGCCGGTTGGCGTTGAATCCTGGAGGCCGAGTTACCTGATGCACCTCCAGACCTGTCTCCTCATCTGTGGAGGAGATGGTACAATGTTGAGCAATAATCAACAACACGGGATAAGAGTTTAAACCAAGTTCTGTGTTAACACACACATACTGACTGAAATGCTGCCATCTTTTAGCCTACAGAGAGTTTTTTAACGATACAATGTGTAATTTCTGCCACTAAGGGGTCTCTCACATCAAAACAATAACAAAAGATGAAGTGAAGCAGCGTGGGATCATGGGAGTTGTTTGTCTTCACCCAAGTGTTGTCACTGCAGTCAGCTTCTCCCGGTTAGGATTCCTTCCAGTGGTTTCTACCGGGAGCCCAATTATTCCTCCTCTCCAAAACAAACAGACCCGCTGGTTAAAACTGCTAAAAACACTGAATGGTAAATGGATGGACCTGTACTTGAATTGAAACCAATATGTTAGATCACAACACATTTTTTTGTGTAAATATTTGATCTGATATTGATCTGATATTGACTTGCTGTCTGCTTGTGCAGGCCTTCATTGACTGCACAAGGTGCTCTTTAGGTAGAATATGATTATCTGGGGCTGAGATCCAGATCTCTATTTACAGAACAGAATCAGTAGTAACCTCCAACATCTCACTCATGTCAACCCTTTTGCCATTTATTGGATAATAAAGGTAAGATCAGGTAAGGTGAAGTAGTCGGTGTGCAGGAAAAAGAAGAAGGACACAAACTGATCATGCAGAGGCCACAGAAATACAGTAGGAAGTTTCAGGGAGTTATTTCCTGTTAGTCATCAAGAGAAAAAATCTTTTCTTGTTCTCTCCATTTCCACTTTACATTTCCTATTATGATTGTTCCTCTGTATGTCCATAATATGATGTAATGCTTGGCAAATACCCACCCCTGTAACCAAATCATTTTCATTTTCAGACAGTAAATTAGATTTGCTCATTGATGATTCACTCAAACAGTTTGCTGGTGTGCTGAAAACTAGCCGCTGTTGTTGGGACTGGTAGCTCTTTCTCTCTGTGTATTTTCTGCGTCTGCATCACAATCTGTTTTCACAGATGTAGAAAGGAGATATGCTGGTTGTGTAGAAGTGTGAATCTGGCAAAGATAAAAGTTTTTGTGCATGTCAACATTTAAGCAGTCTTGCAAAAAGAGGAAGGGGCTTGATTCAAGGTCAGTGGAGGCTGATAGAACAACTGATGATAGAAATTCCTGGCTGAATTTATCCAAGTGAACTGCTGCTTCATGGAAAACAGTGCACCTTCAGTGACGACTCACCCCACTCAACTCGGTGTCAGCTTTTTCTGTCTTATCAAATCAAACTGCCTTTTTCTCCATAAATAGCAGCTCATTGCTTCACACTTGAGACTGACTCCTCGCTGACCTGTTTCAATGGGAAATACATCACATTAAAGGGCAGGTTCTACATTTTCACTCGTCCCCCGTCACCTGTTAATTATGAAAAGATCTTTTAATGACCAGTATATGACTGCAGCAAGCACAATGCATATGGTCTATTGTTTTAAGACATACTTGAGAAATTGTGTCCTTTATGGAATGGTTCTGTTTAATTGGAATATAATATCCATAGGTATGTTTTATATTAGTATATAATCACATGAAAATAAGAATTGTGTTTTTGTTACATCAGAATGAGCTGTTTCTATCTGCAGAGGGAGCGGGTCCCTCATCTGTTTTTTATTTTTTTTTTGTGGCTTTATTAGACAGGAACAGATGAAAAAAGAAAGGAAAAGTGGACGAGAGAGAGAGAGAGAGAGAGAGAGAGGCGGGATAGGATAAGGATAATATCAAGCAAAGGGCTACAGGTTAGAATGGAACCAAGGCCACTGCAGCAAGGACCGGGCCCTACGTCTTCCGGGTGAGCTTACCCGAACTACGTAGAGCCATGGCACTAGACAGGGCCTTTTGCTTTTTTTGCCAGTTTCACGACCACCGTAGTGTCCCCCACAATTTTCAATCTTAATTACAATCTTTGCCACTAAATGCCACTGAATCCTACACACTCGTCCTGGCAAAACAACTAAAAATGTATTGCTTCAGAGCCAAACAAAGCTTTAGCAAAAGTTGAGTCTGGAAGACTTTTCTTTGACATGCTTAGGCTTGTAGTTAATCTCTCTTTCCATCCTCCATTCACTCCTCTCATGCATAATTTCCGTGTTGTCATTATCCAGGGCTGTCAATCATGATATCAGCTGTTCTCATCAGCTGGTCTTATCTTTCTGTGCTACTGGATAGATGAGTGACACACCTGCGTTGTTACTCTGTCATCTTGCTCCTGTCTTTCTAAGTATGATTCTATCTCTCTGCCTTTAGTTCATTCATGTTGCTGTAAGCGCCTGGATAAAACAAGGTCTTTTGCTTGTTAATAAATAATGGCAGGGCACGCTGTGGCTCAGAGGTAGAGCAGGATCGTCCACTAATCGGAGGGTTGGCAGTTCGATCCCCGGCTCCTCTGGCTGCATGTCGAGGTGTCCTTGAGCAAGACACTGAACCCCAATTTGCTCCTGAT